GCTTCCATGATAGACCCATAGACCCATACAAAACATATCAACAATGGAGAATTCTTGGTAACATCCAAAATCAATTTTTTCGTTTTTATTCTTGATTTGATGGAGTTGAGAAGGAGTTTAGAGAGAGACTTTCAGTATGATGAGTGATTTTACTAGTTTTTGGCGCGGTATTTTTTCAAAATTATTATTTGCATCTGCAAGGAAATCACAAATAATTTTATATATTCCTAATAAATAAGAATATCCAAGTAATGCCCATGTATAACTTTAATCACCATGTTATGAACAAGGATTCTCATTAATTTGCTTTCTCTTATATTTTCCTTTTCTTACCATTACATGGTGACAATGACAATACTTCTCGATCATGTGATTGATATACATTATACTTCCTTCCCTTTTTGATGGGCAGTTAAAGGAAATATTGAGAACAATTGAGAACCATGAACCCTATGTTGATTCCATATTAACACATATGGGAAGTATGTATACAACTTTGGAGATGTTCGAGGAGGCATCGATTGCATATGAAAGGGGCATTTCAATTCAAGAGACTATGATTGGTATGTGTGCTCATCTGTAGGTGAACTTCCAAGTGTATGATACAGTCCCAATTGTGTTTGTCAAGTTTGACCATTCATGGTATTAAGTTTCTTTTAAATGCACCATGCAACCCTACTTGAAGAGACTTACATTCTATTTCTGAAAAAGAATATTTTTTGTTGTCTGTACACTTATGCTCTTCTTTAGATTGACAAAAAAAATGTCAAACGTCTTGTGCTTATAGCTTTATGAGCTTGTCTTTTGATATTTTTTTGTCTCCAAAATGAAACACCTTCTTGTGAGCCAAACTTAATAGAATTTGTGATCTGTGTGTCAGTATCCGATAAGGAACAGGGTGGTTTGGTTTGATACCCTTTTGTTCCCAACTCAATGTTGGATTTTCTCTGCTCTCATTATCAGTTTTGGTAGTGAATTTAAAATCATAGCTCTATGCTGTATTAAACTAGTTGAGTGAGAAGCGATGCTTTGGACCATGTATAGATAATTATTGTGTTCTAGAATTTAGATTATTCATTTAGATAGGATCCGTCTATAGTCTAGATACTTGATCTTTGGATTACATTGTGATATTGGCCTTTTCGTTTTTTATATGTTGTCCCTTTTAATGAAATTTAAACTATGAAAAATACTTTATGCTGATACTCATTGAGGAATTCTAACATCATAATTTATTTTTTGGTTGTCTAGGGCTATCAAAGTAAATTTCTTCAAAATTGTAAAAATAATATGATTGAGACAGGCAATTAACATGCTGAAGAGTTCTCATAAGCTTGTTTTTGTCTTGAATTCCTTTTTCAAAAGCTTTCTAAGGTTTGCGCAACAACTAGAATACTGCTATCTGTTGTGGCTTCCCAGGGTCCTAAGGTGCATATGGTGCTGAAGGGTTGATCTTGATGTTCTTTTTTTACTAGTCTGTTAATTTTATAGATGCCACCTAAAATACACTTATGTTTCCCTTTTCAGGAAAACACAGTCCACTCCTTGTCACATCACTTCTGGGGATTGCCAAGGCTTATTATTCTTTAGGAAAAGCTGCAAAAGCAATTGAAACCTATTGCCGGGTTATCAGTATATTGGAAGGAAGCAAAGGTGTTGAAAGTGTGGATCTTGTCAACCCCTTACTTGCTCTCGGCAATATTTTCATCAAGGAAGGCAAGGCTGTTGATGCAGAAGTTTCTTTTAAAAGGTTTTGTCCATTTGATTGCTATTAGTGAATTAGTTCTGCCTAGTCAGGTTTATATGGGTCTTGGATGTTCCCATATTCAATATCATGTGTGAAAATACCCGTAGTTTTACTTACCAGAATAGATAGGAAGTTCAGTTTTCTAAAAACGGATTTGTTCGTCACTATCATGAAGATTCTTTGAGCTGAGTTCTTTCTCTTCTTTTCTTTTTCTGATAAATGAACAGAGTCTTCTTTTTATTTCCTTATATTGTTGTTACCAACTTTTGTTAGTTTTAGACCTTGAAATCATGCAATGTATAGAATTCCATTTCAGTGATAAGTAGACCTTCCATTGGTCTATTGGAAAATCCAAATCTCTCCCATTCAAACTGCAGAAGAATCCATGAAACCAACGATTTAGAACCATATGTAAAAGATGTAAATGGAAAATATTTACTGAAAGAAAAAGATGTAATGGTGCAATTTTGGATCAATTGACTTTAACAATTATTAGTTTATATCTTGCTGCTGCTGCAATGTATCCTACATCCATGTTGTTTTTTGAAGATTTACTTTGTGCATATATTGTTGTGACCTCCCTTAGTTTTATGCAGAATTTTGAGCATATATACAAAATCATATGGAGAAGATGATGGAAGAGTAGGAATGGCCATGTGTTCCTTAGCTCATGCAGCGTGTGCTAAAGGTATGCAAACCAAGAATGGTCCTTTTCTAACCCTTCACTTGCTTATTACCTGTGAAGTCACATGATTTACCCTTAACTGTGGTATGTTCCACTAGTGCATTACACCATTTCATGTTCCAACAACACACTAATGCTTTCGCTCATCCTCAGGCAATGTTGATGAAGCTATTAAGTTATATCAAGAAGGCCTTCGTTCCATCAAGGACTCTGGGTACATGTCCTTAGATGACACTGTTTTCGAGAAAATGAGGCTAGACTTGGCTGAGTTGCTCCATGTTGCAGGAAGGTAAAAAAGAAGATCTCTGTCAGCTCTCGCTTGTTGATTGGATGAAAATATTTAATTTCAGTTTGTTCTCTATGTATTTCAAGAACTAGATTTGAACCTCTCATCGTTGTAGGGTGATGCATAGAATAATTCAAATACCCATTGTGTACTTAAAGGCTACTAGAAAATGATATAAAAAAAATGGCTTTCCATGTTCTATAATTTTATTTTCTCCTATGTTCATAATTCCTTGCATTTGATTATAGGAAGCGACCTTGTTATATTTCTTGCATGCCCCATATTTTTATACGAAACATGGTTTCCCTCTCAATCCCCCTTCTATTACATAATCTTGCTATTTTAACAGAGATCAAGAAGGTCGAGAGCTGATTGAGGAGTGCTTGGTGATCACTGAGAAATACAAAGGCCCCAACCACCCAAGTTCAGCAACCCACTTCGTGAACTTGGCCATCTCGTACTCTCGCTCTAAAAATTTTGGAGAGGCAGAGCGCTTGTTGAGAAAGAGTTTAGAGATCTTATCAGACAACACAAATCCTGATGACCCATCCACTGCAGTTCCAATGTTACACCTTGCAGTCACACTCTATAAATTGAAACGCGATGAAGAAGCAGAGAATCTTGCTCTTGAGGTCGTGCGAATACGTGAGAAAGCTTTTGGGAGGCAATCAGCTCCCGTTGGTAAGTAGTGCCTATTTTATTGTTTGTTTTCATGTGGCTAAAATGATGATGGTTGATATATGTGTGTGTGTGTGTGGTGGGGGTGGGGGGGGGGTGGGGGGGGGGTAGTAAGTGT